TAACTAGACGCTGCCTATCCTTGAGACGTTGCTGGTGCTCTAGTATGGCCTTTTCTTCAATTTCGCGTTGCGTTTGTGAATGAAGGTCTCGGGCTTGCTGGATATCTACTTTCGCCGTCTCTTTAAGCAAATCTAGTTCTTCTAAGCGAGCGGCACGAGCAAAATAGTCCAGCTTGGTAGCACGTTTCTTAGCCTTTTCAGCAATCTCCCGCCGTTTCTTGTTCATTTCTTGCATCTAATGTAAGACAAGAGGAACATGATAAAAATAGATGACGATGTCATTAAATCGGAAAGCAATCTAAATTATTTATGACAAAAAGTGCCACCTATAAATACCTAAGATATTAAATAAAATCACTAACGGCGAAATCAAGTAATATAATAAAGTCCGAATAAGGATTAATTATAGGTATATTGGATCGAGTAGACTAAAGCATTACAAAGCATAGTTAGAACATGTTAAGAAGCTCACTTTTTTCTCTATTAATGCATCCATATCGTCCGTGATTTGAGAGACATCAAATGAAGAGGCCAACTCACTGCCCATGATGATCTTTAAGTTCTCTGTTGCAATACGTTGCTTTAACTTTGCCTGCTTCTCCTCAGTTTTGTGCTGTTCCCGTAGTCTAGCTTCCTCAGCCAAATGAGCCTCTTCGTCTGCAGCATCACGCTCTCGTTCTGCCCGTCTGCGGGCCTCCTCCTCAAGATAAACACGATCCCTTGTTTCTCGAAGACGCTCGAGAGCCTCCTTGCGTGCCTCAATCAGGTCACGACGGGCTAAAAGATTTAGGTGCTCCTGAGAGGCGTCTTTCCGATAAGCCATGATGAGATCAGCACGTCGCTTAACAGCAGCAGCATCGTTGCTATACAAAAACGACTGAATAGCTAAGGGATCATTAAGAGTCGAGGCCTCAGGCGAGAAGGTCGAAGATTGAAGTAATTCTGTCACTTGAAATAATGCTTCAGCAAATAGTACTAATTGTCGTGAAAGCTGATCCGGTGTACCAATCTAGAGAAGTGTGCAAATGCATACTTGATTAAATGTCGTAAAGATAGACGATACATCTAAGACAATATGCATGTCTTAGAATGAGACAACTAGAGAACTAAGATTAGCTAAGCATTGGTTTATATAATACCTGTTCACCTCCTTGGCCACCATATTGACGCTGACTAATTCCAAGGTCCGTGAACACATCAAATATAACAGCCTTTGTTCGGTGATCGATACGAACGGGAAGCTCCAAATTATGTACGAATTCAACGATACAGCGCTCTAGCCGTAGAGGATGCATATAGGGACACAACTTCACAAGGCTGTCTATGGAGAGAGTTCGGTAGACCTGAGATAACTGAAGCAAAGTCTTCGAAACGAGGCACTCATGAAGCTGTTCAATATAAACTGAAAGTTCAGGATCACTTGAGATAAAAGTCAAGGCTGGTGCAGCACGTTCAGCAAGGCTGAGTGGCTGGAAGTCCACTTCAATGGCGTTGTAAAGTTGGTGCAACTCTGGACAAACAAGCATGGGCAACCGATTCCTAACAAGATCATTGATTAGACTAGCTCTTGTGGGGACCTGAGAGAGACCTAAAAGGACAGGTCATTTATTGAAACGCTCTTAACTATTTAGAGTAACAAATAACTATGAAATAATGTCACCCTACCTAAAAGGCTAGCCAAAGTTTTCTGCTTTGCAGTATTCTGTTCTCCAGTTACAGGAAATTTGTCGAAATGGATACGGACATGTGGAAGGGGAATAGAAAGAGTGGCACAGAGCACACGTGCGCCTATAGCAGCCAATTCATCTCGCGTAGTTGACTTTTTATGGTCCCGATACAAATTAATTAATTTATGAAGAGCTGCAGCATGGTAGAGATAGCATCCTGAGCGTAAGAAAAGATTAGCAGCTTTCGAATAATAGTCCACCATAAGCACGGGCTTCGAAACCTTTTTCGACATGAGTACAAAACTCCAGATATCTTCCACTGTTTTAAAAGCTTCCTAAAATATAATTATATAAGATGAGCTATGGAAAATAGGGAGAGTTTAAATAGGAACTGTGAGTTACATTGTACATTTCAAGCTCCATAGCATAATCTAGTTGTTGGAGGCGAGTGCTGAAGTGGAGAATTTGAGTTTCCGGATTTGATAAGTTGACGCTATTAGCGGCATTTGGGGTTAAGGGATTTTGAAATTTAATAGTGTGTTGCCGAAGCTAAAGAATTAAATAAACACAAACTACCATTTCGCTGAGCTTCCGGAACTCGGCCTTTCGATTATATTTCAGGCAAAATTCGTAGGCTAGAGTTGAGATTGAATATTCGCACATACCTTCTCGGGCCACCTCGTGATACATGTTTTCAAACTTTGTGCTGCTTCTTAACAAATCTAAACCTATTCTATACGAGTCCCACAAAAATTTAAGCCAAGGCATTAGAATTGTCCTGTCCGAACGATCTTGAGCACCCTCGACGCTTACCGCATTGAGCATAAGGCTGAAATAATGTTTAAACAACAAACCTCTCAGGGGTTTCCAAAATGTCTAGATCTTCGACATATGGAACAGCTTCCTTGGACTGCTGTCTGGCCTCTTCTGTTTTTACTTTTATGGATTTGAAATAGTGTCTCAACACTTCTTCAAGTGAAGATGGGCACTCCTGGGAGCATATAGATTATAGGGACTAACTTGCACTGTTATATTCTTATATTGATGTATTATTCTTTTGAAATGAGCATTCTTTTTGAGATCGACACAAAGATCTGTGAACAATAACATAAGTTCTTCTATTTTTTTCTGCCAGATTTTGGCCCTCCTAGAGCGCATCACATCATAAAGGATATCCAAAGCGCTTTGCTTTTTCCCTACATTTATTAGTTCTATCAACAAAAAGATTGTCATGGGTAAAAATGAATCCAAGCAGGATGCATGAGGAATTTAGGCTAATAAATCAATTTGCCAGAAGCAATCTGGAATAAAATTTACCTCTGGCCTTTGCAAGAGCCGTTTCAGGCATAAGATTATAATTTGGAGCCATTGCGGAGGAAAAACGCGTACCCGCAAGACGTGCAGGTGGTGCCGCGCCACTAACTATAGTCTATAAAACATAATGCAATTTAAAATACTAGCAACATTACATTTGCTCACTATATATATAATATAAATATAAAAATATTATGTTAGTTATTTTAATTATGACAATACACAATAACTGAAAGATACTACAAATACTATAACAAGTTTCATTTTCTCTAACTATAAATAACGTGCATTTTAACACCAGCGGTTATGCCTCAAGTCGAACACAGGGCCGCAAAGAATTAGACACAATGTGGTTTGATGTGAGAAAGACGATAACCGAGTCATTGTCTTGAAGCCCATGGAGAAGATTCTCAGGCACTGGCGTGGGCATCGTCTACTATAAATTCTCAGATATGGTGTAATCTGGGACGGGAATTAAAGGCTCTTAAGCAATCAAATTTTAGGCAGCAAAACAGTGATTTTTATGTTTAACCGCGGCCAATTGACAAGCGGGTAGGAAAAAAAGGTGGGTAGAATATAGATCAGGAGCCCTGTAAACGGCACCTGGTACCGGTGTTGGAAATGATCGCGCTTCACAAACCCATCTCTAG